CCATCCTTTTTTTAATATAATACAGAGCTATCTATCAAGTTTTAATGAATATTATGTGAAGAATGTACACAGTAAAATTAGAGCCAATACATCTTAAAATGCTACAGCTGATAATATTATTAAGCAAGCTTATATAATTATGAATCATGATCCTGTGTTTAAAAACAATTACTGTAAAACATGGAGATATCTATATACTTTGCCTGTACTTACCTTTTTGTGTAATAAAACTGCACTTTTTCTTTTACAACACTTTTAAGATGTGTTTTATAACTGTGGAAAAAGTATCTCAAAAAAGCCTGAAAAAAAAAAAAATACCAATTATGATCCGAATTTTTCCGTTATAAGTAATTACACTTACATTTAGTTCAATAATCAGTACCGGTACGTACTGTAATTTTTGACTTTTCTTAATTAGTATATTTAGTATAATTGAACATCTAACCTAAATAATTACGATTACATGAATTCTGATGTAATTTAGTGGTTCTAGATTTTTTTTTTTTTTTTTCTTTTCATATGATAAAAATAAAGGCATCGTGATCATAAAGTAGCGATAATAATAATAATTTCTATTATTAAGTCTTATGGAAACATTGCTAGAAACGTTATAGAATGTAACCCACTTAACCGAATTAATGGCTGTAATTATACTACACATAACATACATTAAGGTCAGCCCTTAACACTGTTTAAAATATCAAGGTAAAAATCCGGATCCATTCACAGCCCCAAAGTTTGTGTTTGACGATTTACGCCACTGCCCAGCATATCAGATATAATGTGATGATACGGTCATAACTCCGAATTTTGATGGTCCTGCAATTTAATTAGTAAGTTATTTAATCGTGATCAAAGTATTCTACAATACTGCAATATGGTACTTACTACATATGGAAATATTATGGTCAATGGTTTCTCTTTGGAAATGCTCTTTATGCAAAAGTAGTAAGTTATCATGATCGTTTTTTAATTATACAAGTCATTCTCATTATAGTGAAGTTATTAGGCTATAGGATTTTCTCTTCACTATATCGAGAGATTTACTATATAATATAATAAAGTTTACTGAGCATGACGGAAGTTCTAATTATGCAGCAATGTTACACCAAATTTTCATATTGAAACCATAAGATAAGGGACATGTCATATGACCGCAAAAAAAAAGAATCGTCAATTTTCTTAGATACTTCACCTAGTCGTTTTTCAGTTAAAAAGAAAGTAAATTGTAAAGATCCATCTCACCGATCTCTTAATCTACAAAACTTTTATATGATGCAATTTTCTATAGTAAAACTAATATACTTATGAATTTATACTTAAAAAAAAAAAAAATAGCACAAAAAAAAAAGAGACGAAAGGTATTTATTGAAATTTATTTATTCTTTATATGCATTACCAATTTTCTATTTGATTATTTGCTTCTTCTAGCTTAGAAGAAATATCTTGAATTTCTCTTACATTCTCAATAGTTTCTTCAATACTTTCTGCATCTTCTTCCTCCTCTTCATCAATATCCTCCTTGGTAAGTATATTAGCACCTTCTTTGATTCTTTTTACAAATTTTTCAATATTTTTAAAAATACCTTTTTTATAAAATATTTCACAATGAATATATCTTCTACTATAACAAACCAAATAGTACCCATGATCGCAAACAAATACTGTGGCATTATTGTTGGTAAGCAAAAGTCCACAATGATCACATAATTCAAGATGCGGAGGATATGCTATGCTGTAACCTGTTAGCAGGTACAGTAAGTCTACATCTTCATCCAAGGTAGCAAGTCAGTAAGTAGTTGGTATTTTTTTTTTTTCAGGCTTTTTTAGAATACTTTTTTCATAGTTATAAAACACATCTTGAAAGTGTTGTAAAAGAAAAAGTGCAGTTTATTACACAAAAAGGTAAGTGCTAGCAAAGTATATAGATATCTCTGTATTTTACAGTAATTGTTTTTAAACACGGGATCATGATTCATAATTACATAAGCTTGCTTAATAATATTATCAGCTGTAGCATTTTGAGATATATTGGCTCTAATTTTACTGTGTACATTCTTCACATAATATTTGTTAAAACTTGATAGATAGCTCTGTATTATATTAAAAAAAGGATAA